AAATGAGGCGCATTGGGAGGTATGTTCTGCCACTGAATTTGACTCTCTATAAAAAAATCCTTTAGCTTGCGCTGAACTTGTTCTTCAGTGAACATTTTATGCAATTCATTAAGTTCCCGAGATGCTCCCACAAAATTCGTGCCATTGTCCGAGTATAAACAAGAGACCTTGCCTCTTCTTGCTATGAATCTCTTAAGCGCACCTAAGAATGCCTCCGATGACAAATCAGCCACCAGCTCGATATGTACAGCCTTTGTGGCAAAACATATAAAAATGCATATATATACTTTAACTAATTTAGCATCACGACGCTTGTGCTCTCTCAATACAAACGGACCACCGAAATCCAAACCGGTATGCGCAAACGGATGAGAAGGGTTCACTCTCGATCTAGGAAGGTCACTCATGATGGTTTGAGTCATGCTAGGCTTAAGTTTGAAACATGTTACGCAATTCTTTATAATATTACGCGTGGTTACTTTGATTGAAATTGGCCAAAACTTGTTTCGAACAGCATACATTGTTGCCTGAATCCCTGCATGCAGATTCTTAATATGTTCATTACGTATGACTAATTTCGTGATCGTATGATCCTTAGGTAACAAAATTGGATGCTTAATCTTGTATGACATATCAGCATTTTTTAGACGACCACCTACTCTTAGTATTCCATTTTTATCGATGAAAGGATTGAGAGGTAACAATCTGCTAGTATTGGACAACTCTCCTAATTGCTTCAAATCATGAATTTCTTGACTAAAGTGTTGTTGCTGTATGTATTTGCACAATACTTGCAAGGCATGCTCATAACCTTGCTAAGTTGCTATGCTACTACGCTCTTTTAACGGCTTCCTACACTTGTTAATAAATTGAAATATATATATGCGATTACTCTTATTAGCTTATCAAAATTAGAATATTTGATAATTAAATTATCCAATACACTTGATTCCTGCCTCACAATATGTATATTCACCTTTAGCTGATCCGGTAATGATTCAACGCATTGTGATTGATAATCGGGCCAGCCACTCTCATCCGAAGACAACCACTCTGGACCGTTCCACCATAAACTTGACTTTATTAATTCCTGGGGCATTATCCCGCGGGAAATCATATCTGCAGAATTGCATTTGGTTGACCCATGATGCCAATCACTTGTTTTAGTTAATCTTTGAATTTCACCAATACGATTTGATACGAAAACCGTAAACTTACGCGAATACGCCTTGATCCATGACAAGGCTATGGTGGAATCAGTCCAAAAATATGTTTTGTGTGATTGTATATTGATTGCTTTTAGCAACTTATCCTGCAACTGTGTTAATAATAGAGCCGCGCACAACTCTAGTCGTGGTAATGAAACTGCCTTTGATGGCGCAACTCGTGATTTGGATGCCAACAAACGAGTTTGAAAACTCCTTTGAGCATTGCCTATCCTAATATAACAACAAGCACAATATAACAACAATGCATACGTACGCTGACTGGCATCTGCAAATCCATGAAACTGTACATCTAATGCGTCAGCAGTAAAACCAATCATACGTGGAATGCGTAATTCAGATAACCCTGAAATCTGCGTCTTGTACTCTAGCCATCGTGAATGTATGCTCAATGGAACCGACTCATCCCAATCCAAATGCAATTTCCACAAGTCCTGTATCATTAATTTAGCAATGAGAATGACTGGACCAATCAAACCCAACGGATCAAACAATCGCGAAATTTCTGAAAGCATATTTCTCTTCGAGCTGTTCGATTGCAGACTCGACACATTTACTGTATATCTAAAAGAGTCTTCGTACGGATTCCATTGCAACCCGAGTATTCGAGTTTCAGAACTCTCATTTATCGAAACGCAATTTTGCCCGCAATTGTAGGAAATTCCCTTTAACAGTTCATTACAATTTGAGAACCATTTATCAAGTGTGAAACAACCTTTTGACATAATGGCAATAATCTGATCACGTTTGACCATTGCCTCGACTAATGAATGTGCACCCGTCAGTAAATCATCAACGTAAACATCATCTATGATTGCCCTTGAACCTATTGGTAGATCGTTCTGATACAACTCTGCTAAATACTTTAAGCATCTAGTCGCTAAATAAGGAGCAGATGCGGTACCATACGTGATAGTTTTTAATTCATATGTGCGAACTGGTTCAGCAATATTTTCTCGCCATAAAATGCATTGTAATGATGTTTGCGAATAATCAATGAGTATTTGTCGATACATTTTTACTACATCGGCCGTAAAAACATATTTGAATGTACGAAACCTTGCTAACAAAGTAATCAAATCTGACTGAACCACCGGGCCCACCATCAAAATATCATTCAGAGATGTACCGGACTCTGACTTGCAGGATCCATCAAATACGACTCTTAGCTTCGTCGTAGTACTTGTTTCTTTAAATACGCAATGATGCGGTAAATAAAATAGCGTTCTGTCATCATTGCTATGTACATTGTCTAATAATTGCATATGTCCAAGACTTAAATATTCTCGCATAAAATTTGTATAATCAATTTTTAATTGTTCATTGTGCTTGAAACGTTTTTCTAAATTATATAATCTTTTCAATGCTATAGTCCTGGATTCACCGAGCTGTCAAACTTGACCTCCTTTGATTGGCAAAGTAACGATAAATCGACCGTCACTATTTTGTCTGACTGTTTGTAAAAAATGCTCCTCGCATTCCCGTTCACTTGGAGAAAGAACCGTTTGACCCGAAATGTTATGCTCAATATTCCAGAATCTTGTAATTGACTGCTCGAGGTCGTGATTCGACGGCTCGGCATACACTACACCATAGGTATTTACTAAAGTCTTGGAACCACTCTCCTTTGAGCACTTGTTATTGATGGATCCTGCCAGTATCCAACCAAAATGCGTCTTCTGTATGGTAGGTTGACCGAGAGCTGGTTTGATCTGACCTATGCACAATAACTGCCAAAACACATCGATTCCTAATAACATCTGAACTGTCGAAGGTACATTAAACTGTGGATCAGCGAGTTTAACATTTTTTGGAATGTTTATAGCTTGCTTACGTAACGGTGTCATAGGAATCAAATCAGTAATTCTTTCTGTTACTATACATTCTATTGTTAGTTGAAATTTGTTTAAACGAGACTGAATTGTAACAGTGGCTACCTCATTTGCATTACTCACTATGTGATTTATTCCAACTATAGATATCTGATGTTGCCTTGACTTTATCTTTAATTGAGATAAAAATTCTCGCATGACCAAATTAGCCTGAGACCCGTTGTCTAACAATACTCTGCACGGCACTCTTTTACCTGTTCCATCAACTGCGTTAATCACTGCTGTAGATAACATGACATAATTTTTGTTTGTGTCATCCATGTTGTAAGTAACCATTGTTTGAGGCTTTGCTGTTTCGAAGGAGCTTGCTTGTTGTGCATCGTTAGCATCGCTCTTCGAGTTGCTCTGGTTGTCTATATGCAGAAGCGTGTTGTGCTTCAACTTATAAGTCTTACATGTACTTGAAGTGCATTGTGCAGATGTGTGACTCTTAGACCTGAGACAATTTGTGCATAGCTTGCGCTTTTTTACTTCCTCTAACCTGCGTAATATGGGTAAACTTAGAAATGATTGACAAAAATAAATCAGATGATTCTTATCACAAAAGGCACATCTCGAGCTTACTGATGTAACACAACTAATGGCTGACTTGCGAGAGACTGATTGATTAGTTTTGACACTTGAAATAAATGCACATTCCTTGCTAATAATTGACTCTAATGTCTGACATTTTTTTAGTAGAAATTCTATTAAATCCTCAATCTTGGGTAATGTATCTGACGATAATGTATCTTCCCAATCGCGAAAAGTAGTGGAATCAAGTTTGTTTCCCAAAATATGAATAATCAAATCATCCCAGCTATCGACTGGCCGCTTCAATGACTTTAACGCGTTTATATGTTTTATAGTGGTATTCACCAAAACCTTGAGCTCTGAATGATTTTCCTTTTTCATACAAGGAATCTCGAGAATTGCTTGAATGTGAGTTTGGACAATGACACGAATTCTATCGTATCGCTCAGATAATATGCGCCATGCAACAACAAAATTCTCTCCAGATAAATCTAATGACTCGATTGCATCAGCTGCGTCACCGGTTAATGATGTACGTAAGTATTGAAATTTTTCAACATCCGTCAAAGTATTATTTTCAGAAATCATGCTGTGAAACATTTGAGAAAATGGAGTCCATTCGGAATATTTTCCTGAAAATACTGGTAAATTTAGACGAGGAAGCTTGATATGAGAGTTTGCTTGTGACTGGCGTTGATTTGTGGTAACGTTAGAAGCCAATGTCGACTGTTGAACTTGAGCCATTTGAAACTCTTCGATTACGCTGAGCATTCGAGTTATTAGATCGAAATAATTTGCTTCAAACATTTCACGTTCATTCGATTCAGAATCTGGTAGCAATATTTCAATTTTGGATTGAATTTCTTCGTAACTATTCCACGCCTCCTCTAACTTTGCCTTTCTGAGTAATTGCACACATGCATCATGATTAACATCCTGAATTGAATCAACAGTTTTAGTTTTTTACACGTGTACATGAAGCCTTTATCGACCTTCGTTTTGCTTTCAATGTATCGATATCCATTTTGACTTAAATTAACGTAATAAAAAAAATTTAACGTACCGACAAAGGTTTGATACAATGACAATTGGATAATAATGCTGATTGTACATACACTTATGACAACGGTTATTAGTATAATGCTAATGCCAAACTCTTCAAATCAAAGATCTGCTGAGACAATTATGAATCCTGTGTAAGTCGCCAGATCCGAGTCGTCCTGTCCTT